ACCAACATCTAGTCAGAATATTTACTTTGACCCTTTTTAAAATCTAACATAGCCTTAAGTGTACAGTCATTGCAACCTTGACACAGGCAAATGAACACAGGTACTAGAGCAGAAATTTATCTCTAAAGTTTGGGTCAAATGAAAATCTGACCTTGTTCAAAAAGTGACTAACACTATTTAAAAAACAACTATTTTATAATAAGCAATGTGTGTATGTAAGTGAGGTGTGTGTGTGTGTGTGTGTGTGTGTGTGTGTGTGTGGTGCATTCTACTTCATCTCAAGTAGCATAATTTTTAAAAAACAATGAAATATACCTTCAATAAATTTTTGTTAAAGATGAGGGAAGAAGAAAGGAATTCTCTATTTATAAAATTCTGGCATTTATGTTTTTGAATGAATTAGATTCCTCTTAAAAGAACTGAACATCTTATCTCTAGGACTTTAAAGCCTTCTTTTACATGGCTATATATGATGTACAACACTTTTACAGTCTTCGAATTCAATGGAATAGTATTAAACTATCTAAATATAATGCACTGAACTCCTTACCATCATTTTCTTTAAATATGGCTTTATATTTCACATTTATCTACAGCAGCATATTAGCTGTTAATTTTTTTTGTAGGCTTCCAGTAGAAAACTAGTTAGTATCTTTCTCTAGAAAAATTTCATGGAAAATAAAATGTTTGAAACTTTTTAAATGAATACAACTAGAAGGTTAAACTGGCTGGGGCATCTTTTGTGGGACAATGAGAAATGGGGGAAAAAAAGAACAAATTTTTATGTAGTATCTATTAGGTGCCAAACAATTTTACATATAGCATTTCATTTAATCTTTACAGTAACCTCTAAGAGTAAGTACAATTACTAACCCAGCTCACAGATTATGAAACAAAGAGATTAGGTAATTATCCTAGCCCAGGGTCACATGGCTAGTTAGAGTTAGTCAAACCCAGTTTCCTTTACTTCAAAGAATATATTGTTTACACTTTACCACACTAGCAATTTTCTAAACTGGGGTGTTGATGATGAAATGAGATACTGTGACTTGTTCTTCAATTGGATATCTTCCAGTTTTCTCTTTTGGCTTTTGAACTGAATCATCTTTCTTATATACTTCTGTTATATAACCATCAAGACAACCTTAAACAGTGCAATTGCCTATACATTAAGAAACAGCTATCTCATTTCTGAGAAATGGAAATTTTAACACAAAAACCATGTAGCCACCTGACTGACAGGTCAAACTTCATGGCCAATTTTCCTTTTAGCACTTGCAATTGAGTTTCCTTAGTTCTTCAGTAAATGGCCTGGATTATCTAGCAATACATAGGTTGAGAAGAAGGGAGAAAAGGATGTATTAAGAAAAGGTAACTCAGGATGTGATAGAGTTTTAGGGAAGCAAATGAGAACAAGACAGATCAAGAAGGAAGAAAGGAAAAAAAGTCCTCACAAAGCATACACACACACAAATCACAACATTATTGTGGCAGTGAACAGAGTTCTCTTGGTGGCTAAGTATAATTTCCTTTCCTATAAAATCATTTCTCAGTTTGCAGGATCACAACTACATCTGTGCAGTTGCTGGTTCTTCGTTACATACTGCTCAGTGTTGAAAAACAAGTCATCCGCCAGTTTAAATATTATTGATTCATTGATTGAATTCTTTTACTAGGAGTGCATGTTGTGATGAAAGGCCAGTCTTTTGTTGTTTTTAGAATACTTACTCTAGCTGTACATGTAACTGTATTATTCTCTCAACATCATTTTTCAGTTTGCTATCACGAAGCACTAAATTTTTGGTGGATCTATGCAGTTTGCTATCAAAAAGTATTAAGGTTATGAGAAAAATACATCATCATTAATCTTAAGGGATTTTGTAAAACATGGCTTGTCATGAAATAGCAAATATCCATTTGCCTTTTTCCAAACCAGAATTTGTCTCTATAGGTTTATATAATCCTCACATTCATGAACATATCTTTCATAAGTGCAATTCATCTGGATGACTCTAAAAATACAGGGTGCAATCTACAGTCTTATTGCAGAATGGGCCAATTGCCCAACGATGTGTGCTCAGAAGGGAGAATGATGAAGACTGAATTGTTTACTCTATTGTTCATACTTAAAGGCTACTTACAAACTTTAAATGTTAATGAATAATAACAGCAATAATAACAGAAGTTAACATTTAATTATTTATTATATATTTGAAAGTATCCTAAGTACTTTGTCTATAACACCTCATTTTTTTCCTTTCAAAACAATTCTATTAGATAGGTACTATTTTAACCCCATTTTACAGATGATTTGGTAGGTCTAAGCTACCTTGGGAAAAGGAACTTTTCCAAAGTCACACATTGGGCATTAGCCAAGCTGGGACTGGAATACGATTTCCTGACTTTGAAACCCTGCAGTATTGCTTTACTGGTACCACTTGGAGGTAGAAGGAATTGTCAGAGTCCTCTCAAGACAACCTCTAGCTATTTAGGATTTGCTTTAACACAATTTGGGGAAAACAGGTCAAATAAAACACAGTCACCACTTCAGCCAGCACTTGCCATCCCAAACATAAAATCATTTCAACCCTCAATATCGCTTTTTCAAGAAAATAAATAATCTTTTTGGAATGAAAATTACATGTCAAATCTTTGTTAAATTTTTCACAATTAAAACACATTCAGATATGTCTTCCTGGATCTCACATTACCTTTTCAGCCAGTATCCAATTAAAATAATGGATGCAAGTTTCCATCAGCCTCAGGTAGGTATGGAGCTGACAAGAGGTAGATCATTTTTGTGACAGGTGTGCTGACAAAGTCTTCATTTGCCTTTATGAACACCTCAAACCTCAAAACAGCTAAGTAGTATTTTTTTTCTTTTAGAAAATCTTGGTGTATGATTACTAGACTTGCCTAAGAAGTCAGCTTACATACTTTTCCAAAAATACATACATACATATAGATAGGTAGAAATAAATGAAACAGAACAGTTCAAAATCCCACAATTAAATACAGTCAGTCCTCGATGTCATTGATAGGTTCTGTGACTTTAGGCAAAATGATGTATGATGAAGGCAATTTTACCATAGGCTAACTTATATGAACAAGATTAAGTTTCTACATCATATCATCAATGTTATAACAAAACAACATTGAACAAAACAATGTTACTCAAGGACCTACTGTATGTATGTAATCCAATATTTCGAATGTGTTCAGTCTGGACTTCCCCTGAAAGTCCAGGATGGATGGTTACAAGGGGTTTTAGCCACTTCTCTCTTAGGAAAAGCTCTACACAGTTGTGTAATGATAACATCTGTGTTTCTCCAGGGAGCATATTTAATTGACTATAATAATGACATCTCCTGTATTGAGCACTTACTCTTTTCCAAGCACTTTTTAAGTTATAAAATATTTCCAATCAGTATACATCTTAATAATAATAGGCTTTTATAACTACATGTCATTCATGTTCTCCTGAATTTTTATATTTCCACTTTGTACTCTCTCTGCTCTGCTTCTAAGCATGGGTTTTCTTTTAATGTGTGTTGATTTTCCTTCAACAAGACAAAAATAATCCATGAGTATAAAGCCCAACAATGTCCCATCTTCTCATCAGTGTTACTGATCCACTCATTTTTAGGGAGATACTGTTCTCTTTTCTCTCACCTCTCAAGATGCATATCAGTCTTCCAAGACTTCTCCACCAAAGTGGCAGAGAAGAATGAAGATACAACTCGATATCTAGGAGTAATCTGACACAGCCTGCCACAAGCATCAAAATTCTTTGTAACATCTTGTTTAGTTTTTAAATTCATAAGAATTTTGCATTCTAGTCTAATATAACCATGTTTGTTTTACTGTAAATAGTAAGCGGTTTTTCCTCAGACTCTATAAGTAAAAGTGGATGTTGCATGAACGTGCCCCACATTTATGCCTAGGTTTACACAGTCCTCAGAACACTGCTGTACTTCTGGTGCTATAAGACCTTAGTCAAAAAAGCATGAATTCTATATTAATTTTTGTTTTAAGGGGCATCAGCCTGTAGCTAATTGCTTAACTTGGGATCACTGGCACTATTACCATTTAACTATCTAGAACAGACGTAAAGCAACTCTCCTTAAAGTGAATCCTTTTTTCAGATGCCTTCCATATTATAAAAGGATGATGAATTACTAAAAGAAAAATTTCCAAAGACCAGGTTGAACATTTTTTTGTGAAAAAGTTCTCGGGTTTGGTGAGATGGATGTTAAAGTGCTAAGATGTATGAAATCATATTACTTACCCAGAAATTACTTTTACTTTTATGTTTTTCCTGACTCTAGAGTATAAATCTCCTCTGAAAATATAACATTTCTTATTTTCTTTCTTTTCTTTCTTCTTTTTCCTTTCCTTTTCTTTCTTTTTTTGTTTAACAGAGATGAACATTAAGGCTCTACTTTATCATTAGGTGACTCAAGTCTGAATTTTTTAATTTCATGTTTCAAATCATACAAAGTGAATTAGTATCTCCTTTGTTTCCTCCATAAGCTTAAAATAATCTATTTAGAGTTTACTTAAAGAAAGAGATTCTTGTAGCAATAGGAAAGCAGTGAAATTTGGGATAGAAGTTCAGAGGACTAGATTGATCTGGTCTTTATATCTATTAATCTATCTGTTTATACTGTTAATCTTTATATCTGTTAACCTGGTTTCCTCACCTAGCACGTAAGATCAAGGATAATGTACACACAATTTCCTTTTAACTACTGCAGTTTGAGTTTAAGTATTGAGCTAATTATGCTCATATTTTAGAGCTCCTGGTTTCACTTCCTAATTGAATCTCATGACTAAGATACTTCAGGCAATGTGACTTTAAATTTGGCAGGATGGTTTCTCAGGGGAGATAAAATAAAACCGTTTTCTGAGGGTCACGATACCATGTTGAATGTTGTCATGCATGAAGACCACACCTTCACACACAGGGCAAGCACAAACACTAAGCATGATGTCCTCACCTGGGCCGGGAGGCATACAGGCACAGGAAAAGTGAGTGTTGTAGCCCACTTTGAAGTTGGAGTTGATGGGGTAGTAATCAGCTAACTTGATCATCTTCTTGAAAGCATCATAGATAAAAATGAAGCTAATCAGAGAAGAGAAGCCCTCCTCAGTGAAGCGAGTGAAGTACTGAACCAAGAAGCTGGCATCAGTAGCTACCAAAATGAGACACAGGAAGGCTGACCATAGGCCAATCCAAAGGCGAAACTCCAAATAGTCAAAATTATGGTCCCTGAAAAGAAGAAAGAAAGTTTAGACTCTTTCTCCACTGAATATACATACAAAAAAAAAAAAAAAAGATATAAAATTACCAAATGTCTGCAGAAATATTGCTAAAAACATAAGATCACTTTTAGCCACTAGATGAAAAGCTCATTCTTGATTTCATATTCCAAAACATTAAATTTAAGAATTTAGTCTAGTAATAAATATTGTTATAATACCACAAAGAAATAATTCTGGAAATTTGAGAAAAGTACATTAAAAGTAGTCATACCATTTGTATGTAAATAACTCATTTTCTCATTCAAAAAATGTGGTCCCTGCCTTCATGGAGTTTACAAAGCAAACAATTTGGAAGCCTAACACTGGTACCCAGTATGCACCAATACATGTTTGCGAGCTTTACTAGTTAATAAAGACAGTAAGATAAATATGTTTCTGTCCCCAAGTCATCACAGTCTACCGAGGAAGAAAACTGATAAACATAATCACACTATAAAATACTAAGTGATATCTAAAGGTTCACACAGTGTCACAGAAGTAACTAATTCTGGCTAGGGGACAAATAAAGATGCAGGAAAAACTCAAGGTATTTAAGTAGGAATTTTCCAGAAAGAACAGGGAGAGTCATGCCAGGAAGAGTTGAAAGCGTACTTCAAAAGGCATGAGGCAAGAGACCTTGTGTAATGCTCACAGAGTGCCATCAACATGAGGAGATGCGATAAGAGACACGGGCTGTCATCAGATCAGGAAAGGCTGTCTTGCCATGCTACAACCATACGCTACCACTTCTCATGACACTTACTCACCAACATGATACCCTGCTGCTAAAGCGATGTGTGAAGAAGTACCTGGTGACCACCTTTTCTCTGTCTGTGATTGTTCCATAGTACTCATAGGACAGGCTGCCTCCAACTAGGGAGACTATTGTTTTTTGATGCCTTTTGCTTTCTTATAGGTGAATAGTTCAAGATTCACATTTAGAAAAAGATGAGTGATGTTTGGCATTTTACCATTTCATAGTGATCCTTTTCAAATATATGGAGAGTGTTTTACAATATTTTATCTCGTAATTTTGGGGGATTGAAAAAGCATGAGAAAAAGAAAGAAATCAAGGATCATGCATGCTTGAAGATCTATAGCCTTGCTTTTAAACAATGAATTTCTGATATCAGTCAGTGATATATTTTAATAGTTTCCCAAAGACACCATATCAACACCTTCACCACCACCAACCCAGTCTGCGCCAACAAGAAGTCATTGCCTGATTATTATAAGAACTTCCTTACTGATATCCTTCCTTACGCATATACATGCTTGCCCTGCTCAAAGCAATTTTCCACATTATGGTAAAATGATCTTTTAAAATGTAAATTGGATACCCCCAAAAGCTTTTGATAGCTTCCTACTGCTCTCAGAATCAAATTCAAATCTTTTACCTAGCACAGTGCCTGGCACATAGAAAGTGGCCAATAAAGACTTGCTAGATGAATTAATTAATGCATGCCTGTGGCCTAGGACTTGAATAACACAGTTACTAAAACAGTTACTGACACTGGCCTATGAGCTATCATATGTAATCAGAAGATAACTGACTAAAAATTTTATAGAATACTAGACTTAAAACTTCCTTAGATACTGCGATGGTTATTTTTATGTGTCAACTTGTCTGGACCATGGAGTGACTAGAGATTTGGTCAATTGTATTCTGTTTCTGTAAGGGTGTTTTACATGAGATTAACCTTTAAATTGGTGGATTTTGAGTAAAGCAGATTGTTTTCCATAATATGGGTGGGCCTCATCCATCAGTCAAAGGCCTGAATAGAACAAAAAAGACTGGCCTCCCCCAAGCAAAAGAGAATTTCCCAGTAGGCTACCTTTAGACTTCATCTATAACATTGATTCTTTCTCCTCCTACAGCAAGTAAGCTGTGAACTTGAACTGGAACATTAGCTCTCCTGGGTATCCAGCCTGCTGACTCACCCTGCAGATTTTGGACTTGCAAGCTTCTATAATAATATGTGCTAATTACTTATAATAAATTTCTTTATATATGTACATATGCATTCTGTTGGTTCTGTTTCTATGGAGAATCCTGACTAATACAGATAAAAGTTAGTCATATAAGCCCCATTTTATAGATGATGACATCAAGGCCAATGGTAGTTAAGTCATTAATCTGGTATCAAGGTTTTAATGGCAGAGCTAAACCAGAAAAAAATCTCCATATTCTTGTTCTGATCCTTTTAAAAATTACACCATGGTTCCCCTATCTTATTTGTATTTAGTGCCTGATAGAGTAGGCTTTAAAGTCATTTTCCTTTGTTTCCCCCTTCTCACCAAATCATAAAAATTGGATGACATTGTCAAAGCAAGAGATTATTAACACTGGGGTAGATAGTCATGGTCCACAGATTTCCTGGAATCTTTCTAAAGACACCCTTTGCATTCCCTTCCAGTTTCCTTTATGTCTGGCACGCCTGTTTAATCCTATGTGTGTCTTTGTGATATAAATAGACTATAGAAAAAACTAAATTCTAGGAATTTGGGATCATTTACATTGTCACAGTGTGTCAAATTCAGACTTAAGAAACATAGTTTTATTACTTCTGAGCCAAAAAACTTTTTCTTAAAAGATTTAACAATTACCTAGTTTTGCTTCACTAACGAAATGAAAGGGTGATCTTGATTTGTTTTAAGAATGCTAACAGTTGTTTATAGAATTGATGTTTACAGGACAGGACGAGATACAAATCAAATAACTAGCTAATGTTTAGGAATATTATCAATTTAAGTCCAAAGGAAAAAAATGCATGTATAAACTTAAATCTTAGGACCTAAACAATATCCCAAACTGGCGGCTCTATAATACTTAAATACCCCTAGAGTAGTTTTATAAGAATAATCCAAATAAAATCAATAAAACAAATGGCACTTCATTATGAAAGTGATATGTTTATAGCAGCAAGAACAAAGAGGAATAAGAGATGAGAAACGTTTTAAAACAAATTGGTCAATATTAACGACTACAATAAAATGGCAATGTTACATCCAATAAAACTTATCAGTCACTTTGATACCAAGTTTAAACAGCAATTAGGTTATAAAAAGTAACAGGAAATGACAGTAAGAGACCATGAATCTATGGTGAATTAGAAGGAGAAAATGAGCTTATGTCTTTATAGTACTATTCAGTATTCCTAGATATTTTGAGTTAGTTTCTGAGTAGCATGAAACCAAGGATACAGACAAACTGAAGAACTCCTATTTGAAACATGCTGCAGAAATCAATATTCAGCCACTGACTAATACATATAAATTCCCCAAACTAAATTAATAAATCCAGTAATATAATAGAAGAAAATTATCATTTGAAGGTCTCTGAGTAAATTGTTCAAATATAAGGAAGAAATTATTGAATAACCAAATGACAATCATACAGGCAAAAATCCAACTTTAATTAAGAAGTTTCTACATGGCTTAAAACACATAGTTAAAATCTCTTTCAAATTCCTCATTCAAGAAAAAGAAATCTAATTCTCTATTATTGGGATGCAATGTGTAAAAATAGTGCAAAAGAGACTGCAGAATCAGGAAAACACTTGTGAACTCTTTCCTTCAACCTGTGACTAATTTTAAAAGGTGACAGCAAAAATTCACATTCCTATATGATTCTCCAATTTACAGGGACAATATTAAAACCTGTGTCCCATATCAGATAGATCTGTGGATTATGCAGAGTTACTGTTTGAGTCCACTGAACCTACAAAACAAGGATTGATCTATTTCTCAAAAAAATGGTAAAATATGTTGGAGAAAATCTGGGCAAGACAGAGTAACACAGTTTCTTTACTAAAGAATTTCTCAGACCCCTTAGTAAGCTGATGTGTAAAGTGAATTGCCAAGAAAGAGAGATAATATACAGCATTTCCCAGAATTATTGGGATCATAGAAGCTTTTTTTTTTTTTCATAGAGCATTTAACGGGATTAAACACACTTTGGGAATTAGTGACCTACACAAATACTCTGCAACTAGACAAAATATTAGCACTTAAACTTACTGTTATATAAGTAAATGATACAGTAATGTGAATAAAACAAAAGGTTTACCATGTAAGTGCCACATGTTAGTGATGAATTTAAAGCACGGATTCTCAAATGTTACTTTTGTTGCTTTACAACTATTTTCAAATGAATCACTTGGAATTATGTTTATGCTACTAATTATGATGAAACTGAGGAGAAAGTGAGAAAGGAACTTGTTTAGTCAAAGGAAATAATCTCTCTCCTACAATATTTAAACTAAACTGGGATGCAAACATTTTCTGTAGTTTAAGGCTCTGATCACATTGCATCCAATAAATCTTTCTGCAAAGGTTGCATATGTTTGTTCCTGTATATAATACATGCTTGTTTAATCTTTCCACAAAGGCTTTCTTGTCTCACATGTTTTTGTCAACAGATAAAAACTAAAAACTGCTTGACTCTTTCTGTGAACTGACATGAACAGAACTCTTTCCAATGTCCTTCTGAGGATTAAGAAGGAGGAGGAAATATGTAGTAATGATCTACAGAAAACTCAAAACATTATTTAAAATTTAGAACTTTAAATTCTCAGAAGACCTTCATTCGTGTTCTCAACTCAGTTTTAAAAACACTAGTTTTAAATCTTCACTTACTCCTCTACCTTGTGATCATTTTCGATGGCACACAGTTTCAAAGGCTACTATACGAGTACTTAAGTCCATGAGGTAATTATGTGGGCAATGACATTTCTAACATTAAAATCCTAAAAATGTATAATAATATAAGAATATATAGAAATTCTAACTAGGAATACTAGAAAAATCTACGAAATTCTGAAATCTGTCTAAGGCTTGTGATTGCCAGTAAAGGCAATTCTCTTAGAGGTATTAAATTTATTAGGAAAAGGCCGGAATACTCAATTTGATTTTGAATCTATTTGTGTGCTAATACAGCCACTTGAATAATTTGCTTAACTTGATTTTCTCCTCCTTGCAACAATCCATCAATTTCTAGAATAAAATACTGATATTACAATTGTCATGCCCCTTAGTAGTGTCTAGTGATTCCATCAAAGGTAGAGGTGCTGGAGTCAGAAAGCAGGGTTTCAAATCTCAGCCCTTCAAACCACTGGTGATGTAACCTTCAGCAATCCACTTACCCACTCCACGCCTGCTTTCTCATCTATAAAACAGGATGTGGGCCCTACTTCATAGGCGTGCTATAAGAATTAAATGAGAACGTACATGTAATGCACATAGGATAATACTCAGTACATGGTCAGCACTCAACAGATGTTAGTTATTACGTAGCTGAGTCTTGGAATGTATCTTTGGTTAAGAATACTGTAATAAAGGTTAGGGGCAGTGGACCACAGGAGCATCCAGTGTCTTTCATGAATGAGCCATGTGACCTTGAAGAAGACATTTCATTTCTCTAGTATATCAGTCAGGATCATAGCAGGAAAAGAAGTCATTCTCAGTTGGGTTTCTAATGAAAACTTAATAAATGGGCTACTTACATAGGTGTGAGTAACAGAATGGTGAGGCACTCAGGTACTAGAAACATCAGGAAGCTATTTCTCCCTCTTGGTTTGAAAAGGCCAAGGAAGGAATAGAGTTATCAGAGCCCAGTGAGGGCTACAGCAAAGATGGAGGAGAAACCTAACAGGGTTGTACTCAGGGGACAAGCCACTGCCAGACTTCAGTGCTAAAGCAGAGATGATGAGGTAGAAGGTGACATACACCCTGACCTCTCTCTCTCCCTATCCTACTGGTGCTCCATACTCACCCAAACCAACAGAAAGCCCGAGGGCAAAGGAGTTTGAGTGTCCACAGGGGTCAGTCCCCTGAGGAACAAAGCAGTACGACAGGGGCAGAGAATAATGGGGGAGGGCAAGCAGATAATACAACATATAGGCCTCAGTTGAATCAAATATAAAATGACTGTTAACCACCTAACCTCTCAAAACCTTTCAACCTCCAAATCTTAAAATTCCCATATTCTGATCTACCAAATTACTATTCTGTGCTCTGTCCAGGTTATAAATGTTCTACAATTAAACAATCCTAATTTGTAATTAGATATGTATATACATACTTGCTGAAATTAAATAGAAGCCTCTCAAATACGAGAACAGGTCCTGTGCTGCTCAAAATAGTGAGTGGTTGACCAGCAAAGAGGCAAAAGATGGCTCCAGAGACAGCTGTGCCCAGGAAGCTCTCCAACACACCCTAACAGAAAGAAAACATAGATGTTAAAAAAGAAGAAAAACAAACACATCTCTTTTCTTCACATGTGTGATGTCACTAGGGAAATTAAGCCACATGAATATGCTATTATGAGGACCACAGCACATATACCAAACAGATAAGAACAATAAAGATTCTTACCAATAAGAATATCGCCATTTATTTTACCATGCACATGATTCAGTTGTTCCTCCCTACCCCAAAGGCTGAACTGCTCCAGAGAACTGCAGCGACTGGTGGTTATTATGGAAGGCAAAAGGTGACTCTAAACATATTGACTGAGGCTTCTGCACATAATATCACATTATATAATCCCACCAGGTAGGTAGAAGTGATTTAGTGCTCCTGATGGTGTTTTTCTCTTTGTGGTTACCTTCAGTGTTTGTTTTAGCCTGATTCCACCTTGCATCTAGCAGGTACTTATAAGTAGCTACATTCCTTGCACAAAAACTTTTTTTTAAGAGGAGAGCTTTTCAAGTGGAGAGGGGAGTAAATGGGAACCAAAAAGTGATTTGCCCTCCATCTTGCAATCTCTACGACATCAATTCCAAAAAATATGCTTATTATATATTTATTGTCCAATGTTAACTTATGTGGAGCTTCAATTCACTTTATCTTAGAGGAAACATATGTGCAGGGACATAAACAGCTAATCTTTGTGGCCACATCTCCCTGTTGTTATATCTCTGGAAATCAATCCATTATTTTCCTTTAACAAAACAAAAACAAAGGAAAACGAGCAATAAAGCATCATTGACTTACAAAATTATGCTTCCTTAATCACATCATTTGGGACAAATGTCCCAAATGATGGCAAGCTAGCCTGTTTCCTTATTTTTCGCCATTTCAAACTTCAGTTAGAAAAGCACATGTTTATTTGTGAAAGTCCTCTCATAAACTTAACATAGTCTTTTATCAAGAAATAATTTTTAAATATAAAATGATGGCAGGGACACTTTATTCATACATAAAGCTATAAATCTGAACCAAAAAACCTACAAGATAAGACATTTTTCAAATGAGTCTATAAAGACATTCTACAGCTTTACAAGATTAAAAATATATATGTAGTAGTAAATTAATTTACATAGTACAAGAAAATTATGTGATCTCTGTAACTTTATGTGTTTACTAAACAAAATGGTACTTGGAAGATTTCCAACTTCAACTTAAAAATAATGATCTGTTCATAGAAGTAAGATTTAAGTTTACATAAAAAAAGCCACTTCTTAATCTAAATCACCCTCTGACTGGAGCAGAATAGATATCTAGGGAATCTGAGATGCCCCTTAGTCATTTCCTGCCCTTCTCCCAATGATCAATCCACCTAACTACCTGTCAGCCTCATTAAGTCACCTCTTTCCACTGCCCAAAAATATTCTTCAAGCAACTTTTCATTCGCTTATCATATGCATGAAATGACATAAAGAATTGTTTTTTAAATTAATGTGCAGAACGCAGATATACTAAGTGCTATCTGCACTCAAAAGGAGACCTTTATTATAATGATTACTCAAAATATATTTAAGCTGCTTCAGAGCCAGCAATATTCCCCTAAGCATGACATTAGCAACAGCTCATTCTCCTCTTTTAAGGGTAGAGTTCAATTCAGAAAACAGACACAAATCCTTTCGCCTATGCAGTAATGGGATTGGGGAGGGGATGGGGCAAAAAGCAAAGGTTGACAAGTAATAAGGCTGACTCTTATTACTGACTTAAGACTGACAAGTAATAAGATTTATTCTCACACAGTGAGTAGATACATTCTGAAACAATTCAGAACAATTTCTTCTTTAGTCTAAGAAGTTTAGGTTTGAAGTAAAGCAGGAGGGGACCCTATTTCCATTGATGTGAGTTCTACCACATGGCTGAAGGGTGCCATCTTGTTGATTAATAGCCATTCCATATATAATCAGAGTATCCACCCCAATCTTTTTCAGAGGGACAAGAAGCAGAATAACAAGCAAGGCCAGCAAAACCAGGCAGCATTTACATAGAGAAGAGATTCCCTTGTGTCCAACAAATAGTATTAGTCTTGATCTCTAATAGGTGAAGATATTGGGATTCAGGGGGTTAAATGAACAAATTCACATTTGGTATGGCACAACAAGTCTTTGGAGTATGGATTCCTGCCCAACCACTACCTCGCCCTTAGCAAGGAGCAAAGGTACGTCTTTGGCTGAGATTTTCTTGGATTTGGCAGTTTTTCATCCCCTGTACATTGACATTAGGCTTTTCATATCTTTATAATTTATCTTTCTTTTTTCACGACTTACTTTAGTGTGTGTAACATGAAATAGTAGGACTAGAATGATCCATGTGGCAGGACAAGCCACACTCTGGGTACATGTGAGAGGCAAGTTACACTGCATCATTCTTTATCAAGCATGAAGTGCCTATTTTTCATCACTACTGCAGGATCAAAATACAGCACAGCCTGGGTATAAAAGAGAACATGAAGGAAGAAAGGAGGAATGTGAGATTAAGAATCTCTACTTAATTTTTCATCACTATTCATGTCTGTGAGGGCAAAAACAGGGTCTCCCGGTATCATCATGTTTTCTTCTTCCCATCATGACACACACTATACCTCCATGTGTTCTGCAGGCACTCAGAAATGCTAAAGGAGTCGAAAAAGAAATGCCCGAATCACACCCTAGGTTCCATTTATCAAAGGTCATTGTTGTTCATTCAGTAAAGATAACAACTCATTTTTTCCAGAAAATGGCTTTGATTTATGGAAGCCATGTGACAGTAAAAGACAGATTATTTTTATTTCAGTACTTGATCCTCTAGTAAGTGCTAGAGTTTCCATTCTGTTGCTGACAATTTTGAAACAGAGACAGGTGATTTATTATATACACTGCACTGGAAACTTGCTTGAATTTAGAGATGTTTCCAGTGTTTCTGAGAAAAGAACTATTTTCACCACATCTTGACTTGATACTCTTGAAAATACAGAAATTTTAAAAATAATCTCATGCAATGAATAACTTTAGTTTAGCTGTAAATAGAATTTAAAGCAATTTATAAGGTGAACTATCAGAAACTCCTTGTCTGATTTATTATATTCCGTATTCACTAATATAAAAAAGGAAAATAATGTGTGGATGTGTGTATTTTTAAAGCTATAACTGAAAAAGACACTCTACACTTGATTTTCCAGAGGAACAAACTCCATAGCAATTTATGAGATTGCAGATGGCTGATTTTGGAAGTATAGCAGATTCAGGTGCCACAAAGAGCTCCAGCTTCATTTTGGTTAGGCTTTTATTCTATTCCATTTCTGATCAAATGTTTCCCACTGTAGAACAGTAGAAAGAGCCAACAACCAGCATTCAGGAAATCTAGGCTTCTTTCTGCCATCAAAGAGGCGATGATCTTTGGAATATCACTTAACCTTTGTCAGTCTAGTTTGTTTATGTAGGAGAAAAACATTCAGATGATATAACCATGGACTCTGGAGTCAGACAATCTCAAATTGACATCCAGACTGTACCATTTACTCAATTAATAACTTTAAGCAAGTTACTCAATCTCTCCATGACTTGTGCAATCATATGTGTATTAGATAAGATAATGTCTCAGTTAGGTGATACAATTTTGATGAATAGTAACGTATGTGTAATGTATTTATTTAGACAGAAGATGAGGAAGTTGAACTAGATGATTTCCAAGTTCTCTTCAGGTGGCTAAGCACAAGGAGCATGTCTTGGAATCAGGAATACTCAAGTTTAAATCTCAGCTCCACCAGTCACCAGCCTCTCTAACTCCTCATTCTCTTTTCTGTAAAATCGGTGGCTATTTCACAAGATAATTATTTGGACTGAATAAGACAATACATAAAGAGCTAAGAATAAAATAGAGAAACAATAAAATGTTGGTCCCCTCTCCTTTGATACTTATTCCCTTCTTTCCAGCTTGCCTGTATTATTTCTCTTTTCTTCGAAAGAGGGAGGATACAAAGAAAGTAAAAAGGAGTGACATGAAAAGAGAAAATGAAGATTAGCTCTCAAAGGAGAAAGGCTCTTTAGATCCTCAGTATTCCCCAGAGCACATTCTGAATCAACAGAAGCCTTAGGGGGCAACACTACAGCTAGTGAGAGTTGCTTCTTACCATTCCTTGTGTTACTAAACATGTGGCATGAACAATAGTAAAACAAACTAGTTTATTTTACTTTACAACAGTGAGGTCAAAATCCATATCCGAAACAATTTGCGAACATTTTTCTGCTTACATCAGGGTATGAAGTTAAATCAAACATGGCCCTTGTTTCACAAAACAGCCAAGAAAATCAACACAAGTAATAAAAAAAAAAAACAAGTATAAAAGAACTAGACCATAGGAGCAAGTTTCTATAAAATAAAATTAAAAATCCAATCATGATTGGTAACACCAGCATTAAAAATTAAAAATTTATGCTGTTATATTTGACTTTATTGCAATTTAGTATTTTCATGTAACACCTAAGAATAGCCATGTTGTTTTATGTCCTTTTTATTAAGGAATTTATTATTGGAATAATAATCACGAACCTGTTTGGGGAGGATGGATGGCAATAACAGAAAGAGAAAAGTGGCACAACTGCTCCCCAAAAATAAAGGATTTCCTATTTTTCGACAATTTTCAAAAAATAAAACTTGGAAAATAAAATATTTGGTGGCAGTAAGTGGTAAACATTCACCAACATTATTGTTATATTTCCAGTTTTTAAAAAAAAAAAAAAACTAAAATGTTTCTAACCATAAAAACAGGAATTCCAGACCGTGTTGGTGGTAATTTATACAAATTATGTAGAATGTTGAACAATAAAATTAAATTTCTCTAAATGAGTCTTTGAATCTGAAATTTAGCCAAGAAAAATGATGCAGCCTAATGCCTTTGGAAATAGGCAGTCAAATTTGAATTACCTGCAGGAGTCCTGATATCAGGTCCCCAGCATAAGTCAAGCTATATGATGAGTAGAAAAATGATGCAAGTA